CCAAGGAAATATTACCATGAATAACAGGTGTTTTCCTAAACATACCTATTAAGAACCAGAAACGGAAATTAAGGATGAGAATACTGCTCCCGGCAACTTCAAAACCCTACTTGAGTGAAATAAACCAGACACAGAATCACAGCTATTAGGTGCCTGCAATGACATGAGGCACCTAGGATAACCCGACTCCAAGGGACAGAGAGGAGAGCAGTGGTTGCCAGGGGCTGAGGTGGAGGGAAGATGAGCTAGTTTGTTCGTGCTGAGTGGAGGAGAGAGCTTCAGTTTTGCAAGATGAAAAAGTTCCAAACATGGACGGTGGTGATGGCTGCGTAACAACGTGAACGTACTTAATGACACTAAATTATAAACTTAACAATGGTTAAAACGACACATCTGGTTATGTATGTTGTACCATGATAAAAAAAACAAAAACCTATTACGTTACATAAGTAACATTTTAACTTAACTTATTCCATTGCTTTCAAAGCAAAAAACAAAACAAAACCCTACATGACCGTACTGTAGTCAGGGTGAGGGACCCTAGTGGGATTCATAATTAATTAAACCCACCACCACCACCTCCTGAACCTTGATCTAAAAGGCAGCCGTGGAGGCGCCTGTGTGGCTCAGTCAGTTAAGCATCCGGCTCTTGGTTTTGGCTCGGGTCATGATCTCAGGGTCGTGGGATCGAGCCCTGTGTCGGGCTCCGCACTCAGCGGGGAGTCTGCTTGAGATTCTCTCTCTCCCTCTACCCCTCCCCCCACTCATGCACCTGCGCTCTCTCTCTCCAAAATAAATAAATCGATCTAAAAAAAAAAAAAAAGGCACCCGCAGTCGAAACTCAGGCCTATTGTTTGACAACTGGAGTGCACTTGAACATACCCATCCATTCACTGTGAGCGAGGAAGCCCCTCGAACCACAGCGGTGAGCTGCAGCCTGGGCCTCAAGCATGGCCATGTCATCTCCCAGCTGGACCGAGCATATGGCTCATCTGGATGCTTTGTCCTAGTGAGGGCCACAGGCCTCCCAGCCGAGGAGGGGAGGGGGCTACTGAAGCCAGAAACAACAAATGAAGTAAAAGGGAGGAATGGGGAAGGCACATTGCCCTGGATCCACACAAATCAACAGCACTCCCAGCTAGCTCCTTCCTTAGTGAAAGGTTCCAGAATATTTCATTCTGTTCCCAAAACAAGGAAACCATCCATTCTGGAGTCAGAAAACCCTTGTAAAATGTGAATTAGACTCCGTTTCCACCCTGTTGATGATTTAATGGTCTCAGACTCCACCTGCTTGGTTCTGTCCACCCTGCCTCTGTTCACGGAGAGGAGGCTATTCTCAGTTCAAAGGTGACCACAGGGTTTGATTTAAAGAGATGATGATCAAGTCAATGCAAGGCCCGAGTGACCTTTTCCTGGCCCAGAATTACTCAGTCTAACTGGTGGCTGGTCCATTCAATCACCCAAGGGAAAAACAAAGCACTGATCGTTCTGATGACAACACACTGCCAGAATCCAAAGAGCAAATTAAACTGCTTCGTAGAGATATGAAAACACAGGGCAGCAACTCGTATGAGAGCCCATAAAGAAACACAAGATCTGGGGTCAGGTCTCATGACTGATATTTGGACAGGGGCCGAGGGACACCTGGGACTGAGCATTCAGATCGGGAATTCCTCAGACCTGTGGGGCACCTGGCTGGCTCAGTCGGTGGAGCATGCGACTCTTGATTTCAGGGCTGTAAGTTTGAGCCCCATGCTGGGTGCAGGGATCACTTTAAAAAAAAAAAAAAGAATTCCTCAGACCTAAAAAAGTAAAGGATCTTGGGCTGTCTGGTGTCTCCCTTGAAAGGGCTCACCCAAGCTCTTGGAAAGGGAAGTTCAAGGAACCAGGGATCCCTGCCTTCAAAACATACACAGCCTGTGCACCATGTGGATAAACCTTGAGGAGACGATGCTAAGTGAACTAAGCCAGACACAGAGGGACAGATCCTGCATGACTCTGTTTATATGCGGTACTAAGAGTAGTCAAATCATAGAAACAGAAAGCACAGTGGTGGTTTTCAGGAGCTCAAGGAGAGGAAATGGGGAGCTGTTGTTTGGTGGGGACAGTTTCAGTTGAAGAGGAAAAGAGTTCTGGAGATGGACGGTGGTGATGGGTGCGCAGCAACGTGAATATGCTTAATGCCACCGAACTGGACACTTAAGAATGGCTCAAATGGGTTAAGATGGTAAATTTTGTTACATATATTTTATTGCAGTAAAAAAAAAAAGCAGTTGAGAGTCACAGGGGGCTGACATGGGTGCCCCCCAAGCCTTTGCTCCCACTGCTCTCAGGGCAGCCAACTTCCCCCGCCCTCTGCCACTAGACATGTGCTGACAGGTGAGGCCTCTCTCTAGTGCTGCCGCCTCCGGAAGCTTCCCTGGTCTCACTCCCTCTGAACACATAAATGCCGTGTGTGTTCCTGTCTCCCGTGAACATGTAAGCTCACAGACGGCAAGGACTATACGCTCCTCCTATGTAGCCCGCAAAGTAGAAAGGGAAGGGCTCACACACAGCAGGGCTCACAGCTGATGGGCCCTGAGTGTGTGGAGGGGAAGGGACCCCTGGACCAACCCAGGATTTTCAGGTGCTGTGCGGGGCAATTCAAAGAATACCCTAAGGTGGCCATATTCGGGAAGGAACGGATCTGCATTCCCACAGGGACCCGGAACCCCGGAAATCCCAGCTCTGCTCCTTCCTGGTTTTGTCCTTACCTATGGTTGGGCAGACCCACCCCGTGGAAGATGGAAGGGGCTGCGAGGGAAGACACTGTCACCAGGCCTGGCACAGAGGGGTCATTTCAGCTTCTTCCCTCCAACACCAGGGGCCTACAACTCAAAAATACGAGAGCGCACTCGTCCAAAGGGCTTCTGAAGCCATGAGAGCCGGGCTTCCATGTCTGTTGCTGCTGCTGTGAAAAATTAGGGTGCTTCCACGCCCTCCCACACCGGGATTTTCCTCACTGTTCCCCTGCAGGGCGCAGCCCTGGCCAGCAGGCCCCACGGCCATCTAAAGAACATCAGGAAACAGTCCAGAAAGAGACAGATGGCTTTGCCAGCACAGGCTCCCTCCTTCCCCTCCAGCCACAACGCTCAGAAGAGTGCTGAGTACAGAGCTGAAGGCTCCCAGAGCTGAAAACCAGTTTTAAAACCTAACAGGAGAGAGAACCTTGAAGACATTCAGAGAAAGATCCAGAAAATCCTAAGAGTGGGGTCCAAGTCATAAAAATGAACCCCTCGGCCATTTCCTGAGAACCTGCCCTGGGTTACACACAGAGCCAGGGTCCCAGGCCTGCAGCAGCTGTTATGAGAGGCTGGACGGAGCCGTTGATGAGAAGGGGAAGAGGGACCGAAGGGCGACCTACGGAAACACATTCGGTCTGACCGGCCTCCACTTTCTGGAAACTCAGAATTCTACCATCAGCAAGCGAATACCATTTCAGATTGCAGGTCTCCATGAAAACCTCTCATTTTCTTTATTAACAATGTTTTCCCGCATCCTGGCGCTGAGGGCCAGTTCAAGCTGGCTCACTCAGTCGACAGCTGGCCAGACAAGGCTGGTGCCCAGTGACCACAGGGCAATCCTCCAGCCCCCAGGGGAGCTGATGTGCCTGCAAAGCAGGCTTCTAAATACTGCAGCGTTCCACCCCCCCAGCGAGGGACCTAAGGGATACAGCTGGGTCAGACCACAGGTCTGAGCAGTAAGCCACAGCCACCCCCAGCTGCAAATGGAAGATCAGCAACTGGATGTACCTAAAACAAACAGGACAGAGCACTGATCACAAAAAAGGCCACTTGACAGAGCCAAAAATAGACCATCTGTCTTACTTGTTTCAAGAGGATTCTGACGATGGAAGCACATACAACTCCATCAGCAGAAAAAGAAAAATCAATGGAGCTGAAAACAGGATCAGCCCAACAGGGACCAGGACTCCAACAAGAGATTTCCTACAGGCTCCCGACCCCCAGCCCACCCGAGCCCCACACCCACCCATCCTCTTCTACTCCATTCTTACAGACTGTCCCTGGATCTCAAAGCCCATTGCCCCAAAAGTTACATACACAACCCCACAGGTTTTAATCTTAGGACCAAGGGTCAGATCATGGATTAGGAGGCCAAAATGAGCACCAGTGTACACTCGTCCCTGGGAAGACAAGGAGGCAACAGTGCACGGAAGGATCAGAAAAGGGAGCTGGGGTAAGAGGCACACAGGAGCCTCCGGGTGAGTAATGATGGGTGATGCCTCCCATCAAAGCCAGGCAAATCAGAACAGGTGTGGCTCGGCTTCAGCCCTGGATAAAATCTTCACCCCGCTGATTTTCAGTGGCCCACTGAGTCAGAACTGCCTGTCACCTCACTTCCTCTTAATTCCTATTTTCACCTGCTCTGACTTGCATTCAGGCTGCTGGTTAGCAAGCGAACCTGACACTTCTACGGCTTGGGAGCAGCTAGCACATCTTGGGTTCCCCATTAGTGTCTTGTAACTCTTCCAGGACAGGAACAGTTGGGGTGGCAGGGAGTTCCCGAGACACAGATCAATCCCCCCTAAAAGTACCCGATATAGAAGGCAGAGATGGCCCCTCTTAATACCACCCCCACTGCCTAAATGGAGTGATCACAGGGCAAGCAGATTACTGCCCAGGGCACCCTGGTCTCAACACACAGAGCCTCACAAGAGGCACACCACTCCAGAACCAAAGGAACAGCCACCTACCATCCCCGCATACTGCCCCTCCCAACCCAATCCCAGTCCAAACACTGGGAATCTGCATTCAGGAGGAAATGGGGGATGGCGTTTGTTCAGGTGCAAGGATCAGGAGGAATCCTTCCTGTCCACGATAGCATGTGGACAGTCCAGCAAAGCATCTACCTGTTTCTCCCCTGGCCAACGACCCCTTTTCTTTTCAATGGTTTCCAGCCAGGGTGCAGGTGTGCCCACCCAAGGTGGTGGAGGTACCCACCTGCATCTCCATGGAAGGTGCCATCCTGAGGCAGCCTGCCCGACAAGCTGTCCCCATCGCTGGGCCAGATCTGCCCCGTCTTGCGGACGCCGACGATGGTGGCCTCCGACACGATGACCTGGCCCTGCCGGTGCCGCTTCTGGCACTGGGGGGTCGGGGGGCTGCTGCTGTCAAAGGACTGCTGTGAGTTCTGCGAGGGTGAGCGGCTCTTGTCCCGAAACATGCGGTAGGTGGTGGGGCTGGGGGACACGCGGCTGGACTGGCCCGAGGAGAAGTCCTCCTCGCTCGAGGTGAGGTTCTCGTTGGAGCTGCAGTCCGGGGTGTAGCCGCCTCCGCTGTCCTCAAAGCTCCGAGGCGAGTAGGACCTGCGGGGCCAGGTAAGGCGCTTCTCCTGCTCCGAGGTGCTCTGGCTGCGCAGGAGCGGGCCCTTGCCCTCCCCTTCCATCATCATGCCCCCGACGTAAATGCTCTGGTAGGGCTGGTACTCCAGGGGCGGCCAAGGGGGCCTGCTGCCGCCATTGGCGTTGATCAGGTTGTCCTTCAGGAAGCGGGGGTTCAGCTCCGCGTCCTCGTAGTCGCCGTCGATGCCGCAGCTGCTCTCAGAGGTGCGGCCCCGGTAAGAGGGTCTGGGCGCGTCCCCCAGGCCCGGGCCGGTGCCGTGCTGGGCCTTCTTACGCTCCATCTGCATCGCCTGGCTGCCCAGGGAGCTGATCCGGTCCGACACCTCTTTGTCGTTGACCTTCACCAGGCCGCGCTCGTGGTGAAACTCGACGTTCACGTAGAAGGGCTTCTCGGTGTCCGCCGCCCCGGGCTGGCCGTGGCCCTTGCGGATCCTCTCAAAGTTGGACCTGAGCGCCGCCACGCTGGTGGGGGGGCCCCGGTCTTCCCGGTCCGCGGTCGCGGAGGCCCCTGGCCTGCGGGCGGCCGCGGGCCTCGCCTTGCTCGGGGAGCCCTCTCCGTCGGGCCGGGCCTCGGACTCCTCGGCGGGGGGCGGGTCGGCGCCGTCGGCGGGCGCC